GGCTAGGGGGAGTTTGGGTGTGGGATGCGGGCTCTGCCGTGGGGCAGGGGATTGTGGTACAGGAGGGGGTATGGATGTGGGGGCTCTGGGATGGAGTTTGGGTGCAGGAGGGGTGCAGGCTAGGGGGAGTTTGGGTGTGGGATGCGGGCTCTGCCGTGGGGCAGGGGATTGTGGTACAGGAGGGGGTATGGATGTGGGGGCTCTGGGATGGAGTTTGGGTGCAGGAGGGGTGCAGGCTAGGGGGAGTTTGGGTGTGGGATGCGGGCTCTGCCGTGGGGCAGGGGATTGTGGTACAGGAGGGGGTATGGATGTGGGGGCTCTGGGATGGAGTTTGGGTGCAGGAGGGGTGCAGGCTAGGGGGAGTTTGGGTGTGGGATGCGGGCTCTGCCGTGGGGCAGGGGATTGTGGTACAGGAGGGGGTATGGATGTGGGGGCTCTGGGATGGAGTTTGGGTGCAGGAGGGGTGCAGGCTAGGGGGAGTTTGGGTGTGGGATGCGGGCTCTGCCGTGGGGCAGGGGATTGTGGTACAGGAGGGGGTATGGATGTGGGGGCTCTGGGATGGAGTTTGGGTGCAGGAGGGGTGCAGGCTAGGGGGAGTTTGGGTGTGGGATGCGGGCTCTGCCGTGGGGCAGGGGATTGTGGTACAGGAGGGGGTATGGATGTGGGGGCTCTGGGATGGAGTTTGGGTGCAGGAGGGGTGCAGGCTAGGGGGAGTTTGGGTGTGGGATGCGGGCTCTGCCGTGGGGCAGGGGATTGTGGTACAGGAGGGGGTATGGATGTGGGGGCTCTGGGATGGAGTTTGGGTGCAGGAGGGGTGCAGGCTAGGGGGAGTTTGGGTGTGGGATGCGGGCTCTGCCGTGGGGCAGGGGATTGTGGTACAGGAGGGGGTATGGATGTGGGGGCTCTGGGATGGAGTTTGGGTGCAGGAGGGGTGCAGGCTAGGGGGAGTTTGGGTGTGGGATGCGGGCTCTGCCGTGGGGCAGGGGATTGTGGTACAGGAGGGGGTATGGATGTGGGGGCTCTGGGATGGAGTTTGGGTGCAGGAGGGGTGCAGGCTAGGGGGAGTTTGGGTGTGGGATGCGGGCTCTGCCGTGGGGCAGGGGATTGTGGTACAGGAGGGGGTATGGATGTGGGGGCTCTGGGATGGAGTTTGGGTGCAGGAGGGGTGCAGGCTAGGGGGAGTTTGGGTGTGGGATGCGGGCTCTGCCGTGGGGCAGGGGATTGTGGTACAGGAGGGGGTATGGATGTGGGGGCTCTGGGATGGAGTTTGGGTGCAGGAGGGGTGCAGGCTAGGGGGAGTTTGGGTGTGGGATGCGGGCTCTGCCGTGGGGCAGGGGATTGTGGTACAGGAGGGGGTATGGATGTGGGGGCTCTGGGATGGAGTTTGGGTGCAGGAGGGGTGCAGGCTAGGGGGAGTTTGGGTGTGGGATGCGGGCTCTGCCGTGGGGCAGGGGATTGTGGTACAGGAGGGGGTATGGATGTGGGGGCTCTGGGATGGAGTTTGGGTGCAGGAGGGGTGCAGGCTAGGGGGAGTTTGGGTGTGGGATGCGGGCTCTGCCGTGGGGCAGGGGATTGTGGTACAGGAGGGGGTATGGATGTGGGGGCTCTGGGATGGAGTTTGGGTGCAGGAGGGGTGCAGGCTAGGGGGAGTTTGGGTGTGGGATGCGGGCTCTGCCGTGGGGCAGGGGATTGTGGTACAGGAGGGGGTATGGATGTGGGGGCTCTGGGATGGAGTTTGGGTGCAGGAGGGGTGCAGGCTAGGGGGAGTTTGGGTGTGGGATGCGGGCTCTGCCGTGGGGCAGGGGATTGTGGTACAGGAGGGGGTATGGATGTGGGGGCTCTGGGATGGAGTTTGGGTGCAGGAGGGGTGCAGGCTAGGGGGAGTTTGGGTGTGGGATGCGGGCTCTGCCGTGGGGCAGGGGATTGTGGTACAGGAGGGGGTATGGATGTGGGGGCTCTGGGATGGAGTTTGGGTGCAGGAGGGGTGCAGGCTAGGGGGAGTTTGGGTGTGGGATGCGGGCTCTGCCGTGGGGCAGGGGATTGTGGTACAGGAGGGGGTATGGATGTGGGGGCTCTGGGATGGAGTTTGGGTGCAGGAGGGGTGCAGGCTAGGGGGAGTTTGGGTGTGGGATGCGGGCTCTGCCGTGGGGCAGGGGATTGTGGTACAGGAGGGGGTATGGATGTGGGGGCTCTGGGATGGAGTTTGGGTGCAGGAGGGGTGCAGGCTAGGGGGAGTTTGGGTGTGGGATGCGGGCTCTGCCGTGGGGCAGGGGATTGTGGTACAGGAGGGGGTATGGATGTGGGGGCTCTGGGATGGAGTTTGGGTGCAGGAGGGGTGCAGGCTAGGGGGAGTTTGGGTGTGGGATGCGGGCTCTGCCGTGGGGCAGGGGATTGTGGTACAGGAGGGGGTATGGATGTGGGGGCTCTGGGATGGAGTTTGGGTGCAGGAGGGGTGCAGGCTAGGGGGAGTTTGGGTGTGGGATGCGGGCTCTGCCGTGGGGCAGGGGATTGTGGTACAGGAGGGGGTATGGATGTGGGGGCTCTGGGATGGAGTTTGGGTGCAGGAGGGGTGCAGGCTAGGGGGAGTTTGGGTGTGGGATGCGGGCTCTGCCGTGGGGCAGGGGATTGTGGTACAGGAGGGGGTATGGATGTGGGGGCTCTGGGATGGAGTTTGGGTGCAGGAGGGGTGCAGGCTAGGGGGAGTTTGGGTGTGGGATGCGGGCTCTGCCGTGGGGCAGGGGATTGTGGTACAGGAGGGGGTATGGATGTGGGGGCTCTGGGATGGAGTTTGGGTGCAGGAGGGGTGCAGGCTAGGGGGAGTTTGGGTGTGGGATGCGGGCTCTGCCGTGGGGCAGGGGATTGTGGTACAGGAGGGGGTATGGATGTGGGGGCTCTGGGATGGAGTTTGGGTGCAGGAGGGGTGCAGGCTAGGGGGAGTTTGGGTGTGGGATGCGGGCTCTGCCGTGGGGCAGGGGATTGTGGTACAGGAGGGGGTATGGATGTGGGGGCTCTGGGATGGAGTTTGGGTGCAGGAGGGGTGCAGGCTAGGGGGAGTTTGGGTGTGGGATGCGGGCTCTGCCGTGGGGCAGGGGATTGTGGTACAGGAGGGGGTATGGATGTGGGGGCTCTGGGATGGAGTTTGGGTGCAGGAGGGGTGCAGGCTAGGGGGAGTTTGGGTGTGGGATGTGGGCTCTGCCCTGGGGCAGGGGATTGCCGTACAGGAGGGGGTATGGATGTGGGGGCTCTGGGAGGGAGTTTAGCACCTCAGCACAGTACATAAGAGAAAGGAGCTGCAGTGACATATCGACATAGAAACTGAGAAAAGAATCTTAAATACTCCAGACGTGAGAGGCAGAGTTTGAGGCAGGAACTGTCTAGACAATATCACACTTGTATACATTCGGTGTCTAAGCATTGACGTCTAGGAATTGGGAGGCCTGTGCCTTTAAGAACTCAAGCCCAGGAGCCCGCCCCCTACTCAGGGGCACACATGCAGCGTCCAGGGAAGAAGAAAAAAAAAAACCCTTTGCAACCAGAGATTTACAAGGCCATCAGGTGGCTCGTGCTGCGGGGTAACTGCTCCCCCTCCCTAAACGGGGGTTTTGTCCGCGCACAGGGTCTGGCAGTGTCCCCCCGCCCGGGGTTAACCAAGGCTACCACCCCCCACCCCCGATTTTTCAAATTTCGCCCCTCTTCTGCAGCTAAAAAAAGAAGATTGATGCCTCCAGCCGGTAAATATCTGCCCCATGCTCAGAACCAGACACACACACCCCTGCAATCTGCCCCCCTTCATCATTTTAAACACCTCCGAAGAGGAGGGGGCAAAGCTGAGGAGGCAGTGAGGGCAGAGAGAGGGCAGCGGCTACAGCGAGGGACACTGAGTTTGCTCAGTTCGGTGCGCATGCTCAGTGCACCCAAAGTAGCAAATCCTGAGAAGTTAAAGTGAGCAAATTTGGAGAAGTTAGTGGTTCTGTCGTTACACCCGCCCTCTCTCCCAGCTAGATCCACACACACAGGCGGGACTGCATTCAAGTCTGGCCGCATGCAACGACCCCAGGTTCCCTTCCCCTTCCTTTTTTTGCCATGCCGCTTTAATGCTTTGTAGTTGGGAGGCGGGATTCTTTTGTCCAGCTCGCTGAACCGGGGGGAGGGAGGGAAGGACCCAGCAGCCTCTACAGGAGAGTGAATGAGTCCCTCTGCTGAGGCGCAACTTGGTGCCTATTTGGAAGGAAGGTTTCAGCAGTAGGCAGATGTTGCAACCTACCCAGCAGCAAAGAAACTCTCTGAGCCGGATTGGCTTGTTGCACGGGGTAAACGTGGGAACAGCAGCTGAAATGTCTTGCAGCAAAAGGAATCAAAAGAGCTAGAAGGCGGAGGAGGATTCGGAGGGGTGGGGAGGAGAGGAAGCGATTTTTCTATTCCACCACTTTGAATGGCCCGGGTCACTGAGGGGCTACGGATTTGCCCCTCCATGAAACAAAAAAAAAATCCACTAGGGAAAAGTTTTCCTGTTGTTGTTGTTTTAGAAGGACGAGCTTAGCTGATCAACAAAGAGAAATAGCTCTCAGCTTGATTAGCTAACTTCAATCTACTATATTATGTCTCTGCTTTAAATACACGAAATAAAGTTCTGGAAGAGATTCGCTCAACATAAGCCAGTTCTGCTCAAAAATAATCCAAGTGGAACGCCGCTGCAATCAGTGTAACATGAGGAAAGAGCTCTTTTAAAACCCAGATAGCCACTTAAGAACAAAAAGACTTAATAAAAGGGAGAACCCCTCTTGAATAAGCAAGTTGTAGAAATGACTCCTAGATGGAGCCTTAAAAAAAAAAAAAAAAGAAAAGAAAAAAAAGTAGCAGGAGTTTAAAGTGGTCGTTTAAGTTAAAGAGGCTTGTTTTAAAACAAGGAGCTCAGGGCTCGCTTGAAACAAAAGCTGTATTTAAAAATAAAATCATTTTCATAAACTATGCTAATGTAGAGAGAAAAGAGAGACACTTACCCAACAACGAGTCAGAGACCGTCAATCAACGAAGCTGGATATTAGGATTTTTCCCCCCCTTTTCCAGACAAATCGAAATAAAGCTGACCAGCAAAATTTCGAGCTCCCTACAGTTTAACTATCCACAGCCGGTCTGGCTTATTCCCAGAGATCCAGCCTATAGAATCAGACAGTGAGGTCATTAGCCAATCAGCTTGCACCGGATCGGAAACCGCAAGAATTTAGATGACTAGCTCTTCTAAAACGTTGCGGCTCCAGACTAGAGCTGTGCTTTGCGTGGTGAGACCCTAATTCCATTCCGCATTCTCGTAGAGCCCTGGGTGTTTGCAGTGCTGGCGTTCTCCTGCATGGTGGTGCTCTTTGAACACACTCCTCAGAAGAGGCAGGGAGAAAGAACTCTATACATGTTCCCTTTCGAGATTAAAAACCTATCTGAAAATTAGCATTCCCGGTGTAATTGACCATAAATTAGATCATTTACACGGTAAGACTTTTGATATCAGATTGGTTCCTTGTCATTCGTGGGTGGTTTCTTATTGCATTTCTCTGTTAGGCAAGGAAAGCAGATTAATTTATTCTGGCTTTCGGGTACTAGCCTCGTGTTGCAGTGTTTGGGTTGCAAACTGAGAGAGAGGATTGTTTAGAAAAAAAACCATTCACATTCAATATCGTAATAATTTGAAAGAAATAAAGATAAGGCAACATAATACGCCTTTGCTCTTATATCTTGGCATTTTATTACACATCTCACATTACCACATAGATTTCCCCTTAAAACGGCTGGCATGATTTTATACAGACAGTTTAACTGTGTCCTAATAAGTCTCAGAAAGGCAACCATGAAAAAACTTTAAAAACAAGACTAGTCTAGCAGCACCTTAGAGACTAACAAACCATGCAGATGGTATCATGAGCTTTAGTGGGCACAACTCACTTCTTCAGATGATTGGACTAAGGGGTTCAGGGTACAAACAAATAGTTGAGAAAGAGAGGGGATGGGGAGGGATTGTCAATTAGTGTCCATGCTAAATGAGCCTAATAGAGTGGGCTCTAAGTACCTGGTGCTTGGCTTTTTATGTCATGTGGAATGTAGTAGTCCATCCAGGTCAGGTCTTTCTTCAAACTTTGATTACAAGTGTCAAACTTGTAAATGAAACCAGGCTGGTTTTTGAAATTGCTATAGTCACTTTTAGATCCATTAATGAGTGCCATATTAATTTGTGACTTTAAAAATGAGTAGTCCTGTGGCACCTTCGGGTATGTCTACACAGCAGCATTATAACAAACAGCAAGTCTACACTGCAAGCCATTATTTCGAAATACAGGCAGTCCCCGGGTTATGTACAAGATAGGGACTGTAGGTTTGTTCTTAAGTTGAATCTGTATGTAAGTCGGAACTGGCGTCCAGATT